GTATTCATATTGACATCTCACTAATCCTCATTATACTGTGAAATTAATTGACTATACTTGTTAAGACCTTAAATGAAATAATTTCTGGTTTTCTTTAATACTATTTACAGAATTTTGAAAATGCACATGTACATAAGTGGTGTTTTTTTAAAAAAGGATTATTGAACCTGAGCTGGCAAACCATTGATTAATAAAGTGTTATAAGAAGAGGAAAAATAAATAAATAAATAAATAAATAAATAAATAAATAAATAAATAAATTATAAACTCGGCATTTCCTTGAAAAAGTTCAAGGCTAACTAACTGAGTGCCTTTGGGGTGTTTTGGGGATCTGGCTGGACTGACAGAAGAGTCAATTAATTGGGGAATCAACCCCAACGGATATGAAAATAGAATATAAGGTCATAATACCAAACTCACTTTGCACCAAAACAAGAATAAGCACATTAATAAATAGGACAATTGATATTAATAAGATAAGGGCTTATTGTAAATAAAAATAAAATTGTCTTATAGGTGTAATAGTGGAGACAAATTCATGAGAAAAGGCAAGTTATCAAATTATATAAGTAGCACTCGAAAACAATTTAGAACTTTTTAAAAATAAATACAAGGTATAATAAAAAGTTAAAAGTTTTAAAAGCCAAACCATAGAAAATCTAAAACACACACACACACACACACACACACACACACACACTCACACACACACACAGTATTTATGAAATAACTGGTATTGGGGATGTAGTTCCATAGTAGAGCATGTGCTTAGCATGTACAAGGCCCAAGGTTTGATCCCCATCACCACCAAACAACAAAACCTAGACAGAGACCAACCTTTGGAATTCAGATGTAATTTTAAATAATTATATAAGGTGTTAACTTTTTTTTTACCTGTTGACCAATTTGACTTAAAACTTATATACTTTAAAAAGTAAGTAAGAAGACATTAGATAGAAGGGAAATAAATAGAAAATACGATGAAGGGTTAATAGTCCTATTACAGGGGGAGCAGTATCGGGGGTTGTGGTAATAGTAATAGTTGTAAAAGTTAACCTATTGAGCATTAGTACCACTGTTCAAAGATTAGGTGGAGATAAATAGATAGACAGACAAGTAGAGTGATTCTAATTTAATTCACATAATAATCTATAAAGAGGGTAGTATTCTTATTATCCCCATTTTATAGACATAGAAACTAAGACACAAAGGATTTAAGTCCCTTGCCCAAGACTGCAAATACGGTAACCTAGGTCCAACCAGGCAATTTACCTATCTGAAGGGGTTCTGTGCTTCAACAATAAATAAGCAGACAATGATCTTATATATTTGTAGTTCAACAAGTGAGTGAAAGTTCTAAGTATTAATCATAGTGAAAGGGAAAGTTATTAGGCCAAGGTCACAAATACCAGACAAAAGGTAGTTCTTTATTCAGATAGATGGAAATATATAGAATGACTAAGAACAAGCCAAGTTAACTGTTAACCAGCAGGTTCTTAAAACTCAGACCCCTCATGAATTGGGCTGGACCACATATGAACTCCTTTATCCTTTGCTGAAAAACTAGACTAAAAATAGGCCTCTTGGCTTTCTTTTTCTTTCTCTTTCTACCGTATCTAATCTTGGACTGTGAAATATTGGGGCTTTATAGTGATACAAGGGCAAACAAAGACAAGATTATGGAAAACAAGAAATTTTTAAAAGAACAAAATAAAACCAAAAAGCTTTTTATTTATTTATTTATTTTTGTTCCAAGGCTTAGGACAGATTGCTCAAGATTCCAGTCCTAGGCCTTCCTAAAAAGGAAGCTGGGGAGTAAATCACAGAGTTGGTCCAGGCTTGGAACAAATATCACAGGGAGTTTTGAGAGCAGTCCAAATTAGAAAAGTAAACTCTGAGTACTACATTAGAAAATGAATTTCCTGGAATTCCCAGGCCTACCACATTCCCATTTCGGAGGCCTGACTTGTAGCCTCATCTACCTCTGAGTGGAGGGTAATCTTGAGTTCCCCCTTAAGGCCAGAATTAATACCTATAACCTATAATTAACTATGTTCTCAAGACTAATGTAAGCACAATTGCATGCAAGACAAGTAATTTCAATTCCAGTAAAGATGTGAAAACTAAGAAAAGCCTTCACTGGAATCTCTCAGAGAGGCATAAAGATGTATTACCCGATGTGGCACCTGTATCCTAAAATCCACTTTACCCATGTCTGTCTCCCAAGGTCCTCTTCTTTAAAGTAACTACTTTCTTAGGACCTTATCTTGTTGTTTTCCGCCAAGACTCACTTTCAAAAGCTACCGCACAAGTGGGCGTATCTGTTCCCTGTTTCTCTCCTCACTTTTGGGTCTTCTTAGTTTACCAAAGTCCTCATGCTATTTCTAAGTAAATAGAACTTTTGAAGTTCACCATACAAATCCTGAAAGAGGAACTGGGAAATGCAAAAACTACCTTAGAATGAAGGACCTGGAGAAAGGGCGTAAATGTCTTTTTACCTAGGCACATAAGTATATGGAAATCGTTTAACCTCACTAGAACTTAAAAAATGCAAAAGCAAAGAAGAAGATGACTCTTCTTTTTCCCATGAAATTAACAATAACAAACAGGTTTTTAGAGAAACTGATATTGTTGTATGTTGAAAGTACCATTGTAAACAGCAAAGACTGTTATGAAAACAGTTATGCAATGTATGATTAGAATGATAAAAATATTCATGCCAGTTAGCCTTCCCAGGAATCCAATCTGATGAAATAGGGTAAGATACAAAAATATTTTACACATTTTATTCACAGTTTCATGACAAAGACTAGAACCAACTTAAATATACTATAGAAATAATTGAATGTACAGTGACACATCCACTAGAATAGATTTTATTAGTTTGCCTCCATTGCAATTTGCTTTTCAATTATATAATTATGTAAAAACTTAGAGATATGGGGAAAAGTGCCACATGAGAATATACTAAACCACATTTGAGAATTAGAATTATGAGTGATTTTTTGTTGTGTTTTACAAACTTTCTGCTAAAACTCTATTACTTTTATGATACAAAATATTACTTCAGAAAGAGAAAAATCTTCACTGAGTGTACAAGATTATATGAGTGAATTATGGGAGGAAATAATGTGAGTGAAAACAAAGAAAGGGTTTTTTTTTATATATTAGAAAAGAATTCAATGGAAAAATCAGGAGGGATGATATTGGCTGGAAGACTCCTGCTGGGTCACACCTTGTGCCAGGCTGATTTTTTGTGGCTTTTGTCTTTTTTTTAGGCTCACATGATGCTCTCATAGTTGGTAAGTTTTGTGAAGGTTTTGCTGAGAAATTCTAGCACCTTCGACAGTAAGTATCTACTTCCAGTGAATTGTTAGCATCCAGGGGTGCTGGGTTCATTGTCTTGGTGCAGCAATGAATTGAAGATCAGAACACAGAGATAGCAAGAAGTAGGTTTATTGCAAAAGCAATAGAGATACAAAGATAGACTTCTTCAAAGAGAAGGGGCCCCAGAACTAGGAATCCAGTGGAGAAGTTTTGGCCTGTTTTTTTTTTTTTTTTTAAGACCTCTGGAATTTCCTCCTTTCCTCCCCTGTCCACTCTCTCCTCACTATTATTGATTGGAGCCCCCTCTGTCCATGCATCTGTTTTAGTTTTTCTATTGGATCCCCACTTAGGAGCATGAGTACATAATGTTTGTCTGATTGGTGCCCTGCTTGTGTTCACAAGCCTTYTGGCCAAACAGGAAGTTGACCTCATCAGAAGAACCCCGCCATRCTCCTTTGTTCTGCTCATGACCTCCTCACTCACCATCTTGCCCCGGCTGCCTAAGCCTTTCTATATCTCCCTCAGAATGAAATGCAAAAAGATAAAGTATCTTGTATTATGAATTCAAATTAAAGTGAGAATAATGATGCATTTAGGTCAGGGTGTGGTGAAACTGGCATTCTTATATACATAGAGTATCCTCCTTTCTGGATGGAACTTGAAAGCATTATGTTAAGTGAAATAGAACACCAAGGGTCATATGTTTTCTCTTAGATGTGGAAGATAGGAAAAAGGAAAAGAAAAGCAAAAACAGAGGTGGATCTCATGAAAATAGAAGAACAACCAGTAGAGCAGAAGAAAGGGACCAGGGGAGGGAGGAGAGGAGGAGAAGGGGAAATACTAGGGAAGAATATTGACCAAATTATACTGTTACATCCTGTGCATATATACAAATTTGTAACAATGCATCCTAGTATTATATAAGATGAACCAATAAAAATATGGAAAAAAGAAAGCCCCAAAATGAAAGACATTTTTAAAAGTTTTTGTTACAGGGGGTTCTTTGGCGTTAAAATGTCTTTATTTTAATGTGTGGCTGGAGAGGGCAACTTCCTCTTTGCTTTATAACTGGGGAATAGACTTCCAGATGGTAATCATGTCGTTTACACAAATTAAAAGCCACAAGACCAGTTTGTTGAGTTTATTTCTGTGCTCTGCTTACGTAGGAACAGTTCTGTAATACAGTTTGTGTCCAGGGGAATTTCTATTTTGTAGAGTAGCCTGTGTCCTTTGTCTTACATGAGAGACAAGTTGGCAGTGCTTGCCGTTTCCTGCCTACTTAAGGGCAGCTGTTGGAGTAAAGTCTACCAAACTTTTCTGCTTGCCCCTTACTATGTATAGTAAGACCAATGCTCTAACTCAAATCCAGGGTAAAGGAGAACTTATTGTTAAATTAAAAAAAAAAAAAAGTCATTGGCAAACTCTAGGGGGACTAGATATTAAGACAGAATATTAAGCCTCTTAAAAAATAAAATTAAAATTTCTATTTATTTATTTATTTTTTACTGTCTAGGCATTTGCTTTGGTATGATCTTCTTCATTTTATCCATCATTGTTCCCAGTTGGATAATTTTTAAGTGCAAGAAAGGGTAAGTACAGCTGTATTCTCCCAGAAAATGTAAACTGTTTTTTGCTCCTCTCAGAAGTCAAAGGAAAATTTTTAAATAAATAAATAAATAAATAAAAATAAAAACCTAAACAACAAAAGCACTACTACATAGACAGATGTGATAATTCACATAAAGAAGCCCTTGACACATATAATAGAAAAGTATTTATGCTATAGGAAATACATATGTTACTAAGAATATGGAAAAAATCAATAATACAGTATTTTGGGTGCAGTAGCACACACTTGTAATCTAGTGACTTGGGAGGTGAGGGAGGAGGATGGCAAGTTCAAGGCCAGCCTGGGCACTTAATAAGACCCTGTCTCAAAATAAAACAACAACAACAAAGAGCTTGGAGTGTAGCTCAGTGGTAGAGCATGCCTAGGATAAATTCTTCAGTATTAGATTAAAAAACAGCATTTTAAGAAAGAAATGTGAAAGAGAAAATAAGGAGGTTTTTAGAAAGGTATTAATGAAACATTGATGTCCTAGTTTTGCTGAGACATTGCAGACACTGACCGCTAGATGTAGATTCTATTTCTATCTTTTAACTAAGAGTTAGATTGTGTGTTTCTCTGGCACACATATCCCAGGCTGCTTGCATGGAAGAATTGAGATTTTGCATTAAGAAAGAAAGAGAGAGAAAGACGGGAGGGAAGAAGGAAGGGAGGAGAGAAGGAGGGGGAGGGGGGAAGAGAGAGGAAGAAAGAAGGAAGGAAGGAAGGAAGGGAGGGAGGGAGGGAGGGAGGAAGGAAGGAAGGAAATCTTTTGTAAAATCCAGTGACCTTCTTTATTGGTGTATTTTATAATTATACATTATAGCAGGATTCATTATGTCCATATTTGTGACCATTGAGTTTTTCAACTTGAAGAAAACTTCATAARGATTATGATCTAAAGAGCAAAACATTTTTGACTGGGAAGTAAACACACAGCTTTTATGCTGGCTATTTTAATTAAAACAATATTAGTGAAATCTGYCAATAAGACCAGTGTTGTAAGGTTGATGAACAAATTCTATACTGAAGAAAAGCAGAGGTTAAAACTCCAAATGAGTAGTCTTCTATAGCAAATGTTCTTAACAAATGCAGTCTTCTACAACAACCTTTATAGAAATTGAAGTTTGATATTTCATAGAGATGCCAGTAAGGTGGGTTTCTTTTTCAAGTATATTGTCACAGTAAAACCATCTTGCAAACAACCTAGTCAGGAACTCAATTTCATAATAAAATAATCAGTATAGATTTAGATTTAAGCTAAACCCTTATTCTTCCTTAGTAAAGGTATATTTTGAAGCTTGACCTATAAGTATTCTTTGTCCTTTGTTCTTACAAAAAGAAAAAGGGAAGTGGCCTGATATTGACATTAACAGAAGTCCATTTTTCTAAGTTTCTTATTAAGCACCCCTATAATTTKCATTAATTTTTWAAAAATTTAAGGAAGAATTAAAGAAGGGATTAACTTTTATCACATTATTGATGATTTGCAATCCTTCTTAATCGTCAGCTTTCTCAGATTCAGAATATCTAATTAATTACTCTGTATTTGGCTCCTCATCTGTATCTTGGGCTGGCTGGGCTCTATTAACATTTTCTCTTGTCTCCTAGATCACCATACTCCTCACCATCCTCTCTCTCCAGACTACCCCTGGGAACAGGGACCACCTCTATTCACAGAAAATAATTATTATTTAATGACTTTTTATCTATACTTGTATAGTGGCCCACATTCATACTAAAAACAGTAAAAATTTACATGAATTTTACAAAACCCATTACCATTTATTATCTTCCAAGGAAACATGTATTTTTTTTTTACAAAACACATTACCATTTATTATCTTCTCAAGCAACTCTGTGCGGCACCAAGGCCAAACAATACTGTTATCTCAAAGCAGAGAAAACTTTGAGGTGCAAAGACATTCAGTGGCTTGCTTAAAGTTCTGCAAGTAGGAAGTTTGCCAGGAATTAGTGCTTTTGTCTACATGATTTGACTCATTTTTTGCTATTCCTTTGATGTTAGTTGCACATTTCTGAATTTGATTCTGCATCACTAAAATTCAGTACCCAGAATTGTGTACAGTAAAAAACTGCAATATTTCCTTTTACTCTTTCAATATACACTCCCTCCTCTACATTTTACTGACTTTGTTCCAGCTCCTCTGGCATATTGAACCCTGCTCTCCTAACTGTGGGTAGTACCTGTGTATAAAATAGAACATGTTCTTYGGTATAAAAGAAAAAGGGAAGAAAAAGGAAAAGGACGTCATTTTTATAGCAAAGTCTGCCCACATCTTGTGGTTAACTTTATTTCCTAATCAAAAATATTTTAGAAATATTGAAACGTATTGTGTTAAGACACAGACACCTAATTATTAACAGTTTTGAATCTTCGGGCAGTATATAGGATGGTTTTACTATGATATATCCTAATTGGAGTTTTTACTTAGTATTAAAAAATTCATTTGGTTGTATTTTTCCTTTTAAGCATCTTGTAAAGATATCAGGAACTTGAGGCAAATTACCCCTTAAATCTCAAAATGAAAGTTATTGATTTCCTTTAAAACTGAAACATATGATTAAGGCAGTTTTCCTAATTTTTTCTTCCTCTGCCAATTAGCAGTAATCCAGATGAAAAGTGTAAAGAAGTGAATATCAGTTTACATCCTCAAGAAGACAGCTGTGTTCATCCTCAGACTCCGCTAACAAGACAGGAAAACAGCAGGTACCTATCTACATACTGAGCTCAAAACGTTGGCAACAACTCAGTTATCAAAAATGGAGATAGCATTTGAATAGGATATGACACTAAGCAGGTCATCAATAATAAAGAAGTCAGAAACTACTTCATGAGCTGGAAATGCTTTTATTTATTTATTTTGTTCCTGGATTATTGCCATTCCCAGCGATTTTGTGTGATGACTCTGTGGGTGCTGCCCCCAGGCACTGTTTTTTTCAAAGCATTCCTAGATTTTTGTGCATTTGTGCTGTGAACCTTTGAGAAGTAGTCTGTTTTATTTCTTTTCCTGGTGGAATCTAAGCATTTGCAGCCTGTGTGCACCTCCTAGTCCTCCAGTCTTCTCCATGTGCAGGGTCTCTTAAGAATACTCTGAAGACTYACCTTGCCTTTTCCCTGGTTTCTGGCTTTCACTGAATTCTTGGCCTCCTTGAGACTCTCTTATTTCTGCCCTGCACTGGGCTAATTRCCATCCCTAACCCTTCATTCCACCTCCTTAATGCAGCCTTACCACAAAATGTTGTGTGATAAATGTTGGCCCAAGGTTTGGTATGAAAGGGGAAATGATGCCACAACTGAACCTGTCCTATGATGTAATGAACAGCTAAGCAAAAAAAAAGCAAAAACTACCTACTAGACCAAGGATCTGAAAATGACAATCTGTGGGCCAAATCCAGTTGGGTATGTAAATAAAGTTTTATTGGCACGGCCATACCCATTCATTTAACTGTTAACTGTGACTGCTTACCCACCTCAACAGAGAGGTCCAACAGCTGCAACAAAGACCATGTGGCCCACAAAGCCAAAAAAATTTATTGGTCCTTCTGTGGAAGAGTTTGCCCACACCTGAACTGTATCAGACTTGGAGGAATTTCAAACTGGCTATCCTCCACTTTCAGTCTTGGATTTCCCCCTTTCCCCAGGCCTCTCTCTCAATATATTCTTCTCCATTTCCTCAGATATTTACTGCATCCCTGGGGTATCTTATTCCAACTCTTGGGCCTCTTGCAAATTTAATGCTCCATCTTTCTGTATCATACAGAGCAATTCATTTGGTCCTGGCTCGCTCTGGCTATTCTAGTAATCCTAATATTTTCTGTATATAGGTCCTCAGGGTGCTTTCAGAAATAATAGTGCCATAAGCCTTAGGTATCCCTGTAGAAAGCAGAAGTAAAAGCATCAAATTGATCAGTAAATTTTTTTTCTTTATGTCCTACCTCTTCTTCACATCAATGTGCATTAAACAAACTTGGCATTTTATATACACACATATGTCAGAAATTCTAAATTAAACAGAGGGCAGTGGAAGAGACCCCAGAAAGAAGTAAGGGGTAGTAAAGGCATTTTATAGTCAACCATATAGTCAAGACATATGTGTAAACAATTCAAATTTTTCTAAACAAAAAGCTTAGAAAATAAATAAACTTTGTCTTTTCTTCTATAATAGAAATAAATTTGCCATGTCCTCTTTTTATTATCTGGCTTTCTAGTCACTTTGCTTATATCTTATACTTTTTTTTTTTAGTTTTAGGTGGACACAATATCTTCATTTCATTTTTATGTGGTGCTGAGGATCAAACCCAGTGCCTCATGCATGCCAGGCGAGCACTCTACCACTGTGCTACAACCCCCCCCCCAGCCCTATATCTTATACTTGTTTTTCTTTACTATTTATGAAAGCAAATGAAATGTGCATTTTAAAAATTCAGAATTGGAAGTTTACTTTTTAAAACTTTAGTGATCAGTTATTCTGATCTTTCTCAAATGGGTGTTCACAGATGCTTTGGAATTCATGGTTAGTAATACCAAAAGAACGTAGAAGTCATGAGATGAAAATGGCATGCTGTCCAAGGATTCCTTTTTCTAATGTTATCCCAATAGCTCCAAGAAAAAATAGCATTATTTCTATATTAACATAAATAAGCACATAAGGGAGAAAAAGGCAAATAAAGAGAGATTTTTGAGATAAAATATGGCAAAATATTGTGCTATCAGGGATGCTTTAAGCTATGCCTCCAAGGTTCTCAGGTGAAGCACTCATTTTTCCTTTAATATCAGGATGGAAAACTTATATAAAATGGATTTTAGGCCAGATAAGCTGTCACTAAGTATAAACAGACAAAACAGCAGACCATGAGAACCATGATCATGTTTACAGAGTTTTTAAAAAAATATTCCACAACATTACTTAAAATATCATTTGTTTAGATTTATTCCTTCCATTACCTGTCTGCAACACTTTCCAAC